AGGGTCCTTAGTATTCCCCAAAAACTTATGCACTACATTCTTGAAAGAGTCCCATGCTTCTTTTTCCTTTTCTCCTATTGTTTCCAGAAATCTGCTTTGTCTCGATCTCCAAGTTTCAATTTGAAATATGCAAATTAAACTTTCTTCACAAACTCACTTATGTTTTTTTGTTGACTTTTCACTGTGTATTCACCACAAACATAACAGAAGCTGTCAGGAGAAATTACGCAACCTCTGCGAGCCGTATTCCAGAAATAAAAATACAAGCACAGTAGCGTTCGAATGCTGGATATAAACTGAGTGTGGCATTAGATGGCCAGCGAGATACTGAACTTATTTAGCTTGTTGAAACACGATCTAATTCAATAGCGGGTTGTTTATATTTATTCCTAGTATCCCAGATAACATGTTGAAACATGCTCAACCTCACCAATAATATTACTCACTATCAACTTTTAACCCGTTTCCATATGATCATGAAACCTTCCTCTTAACGCTAAAACTACTGAACCCACCTCCCCCTACCACTACTCGCTTCAACCATTAACATTTTTATTCATTTATTACCAAGTCCAGCTATAATTGATAGAATTGATGTGAGAAGTCTTCGTTTTAAGGCTATTTTTTAAATAAGAAAGAAAAATAGTAAATTTTAAGTTAACTAGGAATTTTACGCTAAATACAAACAAAAACTTGAGTGTAACAAAAAAATTGACGAGACAGAATTTTTTTGGTATTTTTTTCGTTTTTACCAAGTTGAAATCTGTAAGAAAATGTATAAAAATCCTATGGAGTTCTTTACTTGCAGACCTGTGTAATGGGTGGACCATCAAAAATTCGGCAATTTACAACACAATGTCGAATGCGCAAATTCGTTTATTTATAACTAAAAATATTCTCGAAATTTCATCAAAAAAATGCATTCTGACGATACCTAAATGAAATTCTTACTCAAGAAACAAAAATTGTTCAATTAACACAATTTGCGTTAATTGTACAATTATCGTTATTATCGTGTCAGCGAAGCGGCAATAAAATATTTACTACCATTTTGCACAACATACTTCTGCGAGAGCGGATTTTCGACCGTGGCAAACATGAACAATATTAAAAATCATAAGTTAATATATATTTAATAAGATATTGTATTGTACCGAAAGAAATAATGAAAAATACAATAAAAAATTACTTATATTTAGCTAGAAATATCAGCTTTTTTGTCAATGAATTGTAGTTGATTATGTTAATTAACTTTAACAACGAGCGCTAAAAAATTTAGTAATAAAAATAAATTGATTTCGTACATAAAATTTATGCATAAAATAGTTTCATACATATAAATTCCCTTGGAAAAAATAATTTAAAAGTTTCTCAAGTCAGAGATGTAGAATTTAATTTAAATTCCGTTTAAAAACTTCTCTAACAACCATTTAAGTTGATTCTGATAACAAATATTAAAATACGTTCATCAATTTTTATTATTTGCATAGAAATTTATATAATTATGTAACATCGTAAAAAGTCATTCAAAATTTGCTTCCTAGATGGCAGTGGTCACTATTACGTGAAGGATCTAAGTGTACAGGAAATCCGGTAAATGGAATAAAACTAATTGTTACTTTATTACTTTCCTAGTAGGCAATTCACTTGTCTCGTGAACATCATGGAATTATTAGAAATTTGTAACTATAAGTGGTTTATATTCTTTGTGTTGGTGCTTCTTCTCAGTTTTTTGTAAGTAAAAAATGTAATAACTTATTTTAATCTATAGTTGCACGGTAATTACGAATAATATTGTTTGCTCACATATTAATTGCTATATCATATGTAGATGTTATATTAATATTTATAACGTGATATTTGTAAAAGTTCTTACGGAATATTGATTAATTAATGTTTAAATTAAGTAAATAATAATGTAATGACAATTTATTTTTATTATACTCTTAGACCCTGTACACACTAGGCGTTTTTAAACGCGCGTTTTGCGAGCGCTTATAAGAACCAAGAGTTCTATGTAGCCGTACACACTCAAAAGCCAAGCGCGCGTTAAACGCGCGTTTTGCGAGCGCTTATAGATTTTTGTTAAAACGCGCGTTTTGCGAGCGCTTTACGGGCGCTTTGAGATATATGTGCTGCCATGTTACCGTACATGCGATCGCGCGTTTTGCGGGCGTCAGCCGAGCGCTTTGAGATATATGTGCTGAAATGGAGAACGATCATTTCGATACTGATCTATTTATTGATGAAATCTAAAAGAGACCAACCATCGTCAAAGGATTTTATAGATATTTTAAAAGAATTAAAAAACTTGAATTTATTTTGTCTTAGTTTTGGATACAACGTCGCAAACATTTCATGCGTCAGTCTATCTCGTAATATTGGGTGCACCCAAAATTCTCTTTGCCTCCGCCGTCGTCTTTTATAGCGACGATAGAGGAGCCACACACAAGCAATCACTTCCACATCCATTTCCAAACCGAGCCAGTGCGCACGCTCCGCTAAACGCTCGTCAAACGCCGAGCTAACGCGCGTTAGCTCGGCGTTTTACGAGCGTTTAACGCGCGTTGAAAAACGCCTAGTGTGTACAGGGCCTTAAACGCGCGTTGAAAAACGCCTAGTGTGTACAGGGCCTTAGGCTTATAAAGTTGTTATTTATTTAGGAATTTCTTAACATAAAATTTATTTAATGTTATTCTTGAGTCGATCATTTATGTCAAGAATTTCGTCTTATTATATCTTGTTTCTGCTGCGTGTTATCTAAATAAATGTTTACGAGAGTACAGTGGTACCTCAGGTTACGAACGCCCCAGCATACGAAATTTTCAGGATACGACATAAAATTCGAACATATTTTTGCTCCACGATACGAACAAAAACTCACCATACGACGTTACATTAGTTCGCATTTTTCATTTGTTTTTCTTACTACAGTTATTTTTTTTAATGTATTACTTGGCTTTAATTTGAGTATGTTCTTCGCGTTGGAACGAATTATTTGGTTTTACATGTAATCGTATCGGAAAAGATGATCCACCTTACGACATTTTCATGATACGATCTCAGTTTCGGAACGGATTAATTTCGTATCCTGAGGTACCACTGTATAAGTAATCGGTAGTGGACTATTCGATTGCAACCCAACTGTCCTCTCATAGCACCAAATCTTATCTCGTCTCCTACGAAAAATAGCAGCACAGCTTAACTACAAAATCGTAGAGGGTCTCAAAATTAGAACAAAACACTTTTAGTCCGGTTAAAATACTCAAAGGTTGGACGACTGGATATCATCAGAAAAAATGGGTGAAAGGAAACTGTGAGGCACCTCTGCATGACCTTCAGCGCTCAAGGCCAGACAGAGAATCAATAGTCGAGAGTAATATACTAAAAACATTATTTCAGCAAATTCTTTTTTATTTTTATGTATTTTTAGATGAGTTTCGTCAAATTTGTAGAATTGATAAAGACTCTACTTCATTTGGGTCAGTAAAATAATTATATAAAAACCTCGAAAATAAAATAATTTTTTTATGTTAACTTTTTTAAAACCGACATTTGTCATAAACATTAATAATATTCAGTGGCGTACCGTGGGTGTCAACCGCCCGGAGCGGAGGAAAATTTCGGCCCCCCTTATTTAGGTATTTCAATTTAAAAGACCAAAATTCAGTTTTGTCACAGAACAAGCAAGAAAAAATTCGGTGGTAGTGCAGCGACCTGTTTAAAATAGTTCTATTGGATATTAGTGGTGTATATGAATCGTACAAGCAAAAAAAAAGGTCAACAGGTTTCGCTGAAACTCCTCGAATGACAGTTACTAGTTCACCGGGCGAGCCGATTCCCGGACTGTCCGGATGATAGCACTATCGTAGGCGCGATGAAAATATAGATTAGGATGTTTCAAAATTTTACAAGATAATATTATTATTATTTATTGTGAAATTTTGCCGTCCCCTAAAAGGTAATTTTGCCGCCCCCTAAAGAGTGCCGCCCGGGCGGACCGCCCCTACCGCCCCCCTACGGTACGCCACTGATAATATTGATCCACTTGTTTCTAGCAGGGTAACGATGAATTTATAGACCGTGTTGCTAGATATTATTTTACAATATTAATAACACATAAATTTTAATATATACTGGTTGAAACAATTAGCAGAGCGTATGACTGGTTGTAACGTCTTAGCTGTAAGTACAATAAATGATAATATGACAAGAATTCGGCACGAATGCATGTCTTTTCATCTATTATTGTATATTTTATTGTATCTTACGTAACAATAACATGTGGCATTCAGGATCGTTCGTTGTAAACGATTTATATGCAACATCTCATGCTTCCCGAATTGTTTCGAGCACTGTATTTCTTTTAGTAAGTAAATAGTAAATAACTAAATACTGTAATTATATATTTAATTGCATTACGTAATTTATTAGTAATTTTCTTTAATACAATTTTTAAATGCTATCCAATTTAAATAGACATTTTTGAGATATTTTAATAAGTACTTAATACGCGAAACATTTTGAGTTTGACAATTAATGTGAGGCTGTGGTCAGGTCCAAACCCTCACTAAAATTCGCGGAAAATAATTGTTTTAGAGAAAAAATATTTAGTAGTTAGAAATAGATTTTTATTATATGAAAACGCGNAGTTAATATATATTTAATAAGATATTGTATTGTACCGAAAGAAATAATGAAAAATACAATAAAAAATTACTTATATTTAGCTAGAAATATCAGCTTTTTTGTCAATGAATTGTAGTTGATTATGTTAATTAACTTTAACAACGAGCGCTAAAAAATTTAGTAATAAAAATAAATTGATTTCGTACATAAAATTTATGCATAAAATAGTTTCATACATATAAATTCCCTTGGAAAAAATAATTTAAAAGTTTCTCAAGTCAGAGATGTAGAATTTAATTTAAATTCCGTTTAAAAACTTCTCTAACAACCATTTAAGTTGATTCTGATAACAAATATTAAAATACGTTCATCAATTTTTATTATTTGCATAGAAATTTATATAATTATGTAACATCGTAAAAAGTCATTCAAAATTTGCTTCCTAGATGGCAGTGGTCACTATTACGTGAAGGATCTAAGTGTACAGGAAATCCGGTAAATGGAATAAAACTAATTGTTACTTTATTACTTTCCTAGTAGGCAATTCACTTGTCTCGTGAACATCATGGAGTTATCAGAAATTTGTAACTATAAGTGGTTTATATTCTTTGTGTTGGTGCTTCTTCTCAGTTTTTTGTAAGTAAAAAATGTAATAACTTATTTTAATCTATAGTTGCACGGTAATTACGAATAATATTGTTTGCTCACATATTAATTGCTATATCATATGTAGATGTTATATTAATATTTATAACGTGATATTTGTAAAAGTTCTTACGGAATATTGATTAATTAATGTTTAAATTAAGTAAATAATAATGTAATGACAATTTATTTTTATTATACTCTTAGACCCTGTACACACTAGGCGTTTTTAAACGCGCGTTTTGCGAGCGCTTATAAGAACCAAGAGTTCTATGTAGCCGTACACACTCAAAAGCCAAGCGCGCGTTAAACGCGCGTTTTGNAAGCATCTGAAATTGCTGCCTTCAAATGATGAATTGTGGAAAACTGTTTTCCATTGGATAAACTGTACGAACCATCATCAACAAAAGATTTTCCATCAGACTCAGGTCAGGGCTTCTAGCAGGCCATGTCATCAGATTAATATTTTTACGTTTAAACCACATTTTTGTTGATTTAGAGCAGGGGTCGCCAAACTTTTTTAACTGTCGACCCCCAATCACTTTCCAAAACCTCACATTGACCCCCACCGTAAAGTTTTATTATAAGTGTAAGTGTATGAGCAAAATAAAATACGTTGTGATCTCTGATATCTGTATAAGAAAAAAAAACAAGGTTGTAATCCATTGCCACATCGACCCCCTAATCGACCCCCTAGCCGCATCGACCCCCCAATGATGTTGCATCGACCCCTGGGGGTCGATATAGACCACTTTGGCGACCCCTGATTTAGAGGCATGCACAGGGGCATTGTCTTGTTGAAAGATCCAATTTGGTCCACAAATATTTGATCAAGCTTCCAATAAATGATTTTCAAGCATGCCTTGATACTTCTCTGAATTTATTCTTTAGTTATAAATGCTAAACCTGTGGTTCCATTGAATCCAAACGCACCCCACACTATTATTGATCCCCACCCATTTGGCGTTTTGAAAATATTTGTTTTTCGGTTCTTAAATCGTGCCAATAATACTTTCAACCGTCTGGACTATCTAAGATGAATTGTTTTTCATCACTGAACAAAACTTCAATCCATTCTTTGGGCCATGGCATGTGTTTTTGTGCCAATCAAGTCTATCACTTTTGTGCTTTAATGAAAGTGGTGGCATTATAGCTTTTTTTCTGAATTTTAACACTGGAGATTTATTTAAAACTCTCCACACTGTTGTGCTACTACAAAGTAAGTCTAATTCTTGTTTTATTTTTCTTACTGATGTTTCTTTTGTGCAGCAAACCTCGATGATTTGTCTTCAATCTCAAGGTATAAGCTTCGGTTTTGGACCTGTCTTGAATTTTAGTACATCCTAGCCACGTCTTTTTGATAAATAATCACCAACAGTTGATTTTGGACGATTTATATATGCTGCAATTTCTCTTATTGACTTGCCTTGTGATTTATAAGCATCAATCTGCTCTTTTTCATAATCAGATAAATTCTTTGTTCTACCCATTTTAGAACGTTGAACAACGTAAAAAATTTGCATTACAATTAGATATGTAAGCTGATTTGTATAATTCAATGCTTGAAACTAAACAATTTTCTATATAACTCACGAAATGAGTGCCTGTCCGGATAAATATGTAACAGTTTTTTTGTACATGATTTTGAAAAATATTATTTTCAGTGACAAAATGTTAATGTTTGATTGAAATTCTTATTTTGCAGTGTGGAAACAAGTAAATCCATGTTATTTTTAATAAAACATTTGTCATTTAATGCAGCAAATTTGGGTTTCACTTTAATTTTTTCGTGTCCGTATAAATTTGAAACACACCTTAGTACTTAAGTACGTAAAAATTTATTACATTTCATGTTGTACGAGGGCTTTACCCAATTCTCGAACCGTGTTAGAGTGAATCCGTGCTATAGAAGTGCCGTGTTATACGGGGGTTACCTGTATATATTAAGAAACTATTCGCATTTTAAAATACAAAGTATGTAAGTATTCAAAGTATTTACTAGAAGTAATAATTTGATCATAAATAATAATAGATTCTATATTCTTTATTTTTACTTTAATGTGATCTAATACTCTTTATGATGTGTAACCTTCGATAGTAGAATTAAAAAATGAATACGATTAAAACATATAAAGCATTTAAATTTAATTGTTAATTTAGAATATACAAAAATAGTATTAATAAGTTCAGTAAGGCGTCGAAAATCCGGACTCTAAAATATAAGATACGTGAAAGTTAGAATTTTAAGCACAGTACTCTAAACGCCAAATGTATTGTAATTTAAGTTTAGGTGTTCTAAGTTTAAGGCAGTATTTCACAAGGAATGCAGGAATACTTACAAAAATTCAAAATATACTTTTCAGAATCATTATATTTAAACAAAAAATGTACTAATAATTATTTCAAAATTAAAAAATTACGAATTCTGAATGAATGTTAGAGCATGAACAAGATAAGAGAGAAAGAACGTCAACAACGAAGTTACCATTGAAAGGGTTATTTTATATCCATTTTTCTATTGCCGAATCCGGATTTTCGACATTTCACTGTATTAAACTTATTATAATTTTACTTCAGAAATTTAATATTGGAAATCCAATATTCGACAACGGATTGGTTATTTTGGGAGATGAAGATTGGGAAAGAATCCGATGTATAATGAGCCCAACTTTTACTAGCAGCAGAATGAAACAAGTAAATAAATTCTTACATCTTTTCATTTTAACTTTTTGTTTTAATTTTCCAGTAATAATTAATAAATTCAATTAATCTGTGGAGATGAATAAGTGATGCAAGTAGTGAGATTTTTTTGAAACGATTTAATATTTATAACCATTTAGAAAAATAATGGATACTTAAGCATCTCATAAGAAGGTAGCTTCTTTTAATAAATGCTTGATATGAAACGATATTGAGTATACTAAAATTTATTTATATAGTGATCAACTTTGCTTTTACTGTTTTATATCTAATTTATTTTAAAAGATCATAATTATGCCATCTGCTTTTATCATTTGTTTTACAAAAGTAATAATATACAGGGAGGGTGTCCGGCTTATGAGTTTAATAAAAGAACAATTTATAATTTGCATTGTATTTTTATCGCACTTGTAATCAGCTTATATTTTATGTTGATATTTGTAGCCATTTATGAGAAATGCCATTTTTTGGCGCTGCGATTACTAACACATGAGCAGAATAGCAAAATAGATGCTCCAGTCACTGCATGTTATCACCTGGTCAAGTTATTTATACATGCTGCAACTTATGCTATCCTTCAACTTCCTCCTGGCATCATTGTTCAATAAAGACATTTTTTAGGGAGTATTCCAGACAGTAGATTGGTTCTTATTCCACTAAACTTTTTCCTGTGAGATATTGTAATAATCAAGAGTATTATATATCTGTGCATAACTTCAATGATGTGAGACAGAATCTCTCAAGCTATGGACAATGTCACGCGTCGTATGCTATGAAATCCGTGGATAAAGTAGAATACAAGTTGGACATCTGGTTCGCCACTGTTGACGCACATATTTAAGTCTGTTTGAATGCAAAAGAGAATCGACAAGAGTTTTTTGTTACTAGAAGACATTTTCATTATATTGTTATAATAACTTTTAAATTTACACGCGTTTCTTTTATTAGACATCTAATCCGCACACCCTGAATTTGTATGGTTTGCATGAAAATATACATGATCGCAACTTTCTAATTTTTTTTTAAATATACGAATTTTGTTGTTTTTAAATAACTGATTTATATTATTTATTTCCATCTGTTTTTGAGACTAGTAAACTTATTTTTATTAAACAAACAAAAACTTGAATTATCTCCAAAGTTCGAGGTTTTTCGTTACAATGAAAGTTATCATAGTATTAGTATCATATTTGTCTTATTAATTGAGTTATGTAATTTTGTTGTAAAATAGATAATTAAATTTGATGTATAACTAATATACTTTAAAAATTTTTCATTAGAAATAAATACAAAGATAAAATCGAAAATATNAATTTATATATTGTAAACGGTTTTTAATTTTAAAAAATGTTCGCTCATAAAGAAGCACAATATAAAAATTGTAATTTATGAAGTTAAGAATTCTAAAATTGCATTTACGTTACATTCTGTCAAGTTATTCAAATAACAAAATCTTGTATTATACCAAACAAATATTATATATTTTCAATATTCTTTATTTAAATTCGGATATCAAAATATTGTGATGTTTGTTAATAGGCTATATTAATTTTAAGATATTTTTAGTCTAGATTAATTTCGATTTGTTTATTTTCAGAGAAAATGTAATATTATCTGATATACAATTATATCTTTCCAGATATGTCAACAGATATTTTAAATTTTGGGAAAGGCATAGAATTCCTACACCAACAACCAACATTTGGTCTTTCTTATCAGAACTATATCGATTTATGAATACGGTAAGTTGATTTTAAACTTTTTTTAATGAATTGTTTATTCATAAAATGTTATAGATGGCCTTAATAACGTTTTATGAATTAGAAATAATTATTGATATTCTACGTTTAAAAAATATACTATTTTAAGAAAGAGTTCCTAAAGTTTTTCATCTTTATTTACTGGTATTCTGGATTTTATCAAATAACTAGATTTAGAATTTTCACAATTCGATCTTTTAATGTCATTCGGATGTAATACTAGAATATCAATTATTTCCTATCAGCATCCACTCTCTTAATTTATTAATTTAATTAATTAATCACCTAGTTGCAAAAGATATTTTTTAGTAAGATTAAAATTATTATTTTCTTTTTTTGTGTCTATTATTGACGATAATCGGGATGAAATTTTATTTTTGTTGGTTCCTAGATGAATAGCTTCCATCAATGTTAGATTTTAGATTTTGATCTGTAATCTTTTCTTTGAAATTCTCTTTCATATTTTCAATACATCTCTCTCTAGAAATTTTTTTCTTCCTTTCAAGTAAATACTGTAGGTTAGGATGGTTCTTATTTTTAAGTTTTGGAAAGTTGGACGGAGCATGTGTTGAATCTGATCCATTATGGAAAAAATAATAATAATATCGGTAAAATTTCGTTAGCTTTGAATACTTACGAGCGCTACCATAATCTGAAAAATCGCGTATAGGACATATATTCACTTATTGAAATCGAAACACTACGTAATTATATCTACGTCAGTATGAGTACAGTGTTCTTAGTTCATGTTCAGTAATAGTCCATATCCAGTGTTTGGAAGAATCTATAACCTTCCGAAACATAGTAGAATCTTCTGAAACATTTATTAAATCAAAATGTGAATATTAAAGACACAGTTTTCATTGAGGAAAAAAAGAGGAAGCTGAGATACTGGACAAAGCTTTCTGCTAATTTTTGTATGAACGTGTGAATGTATTTCTACGAATAAGACGTTTTTTGTTATTCGTTCTGTGTGCGTGTTTTCATTTTCCTCAATATTTTTGGAGTTTAATTAAAATTGTTACTGTTATCATTACAAAAGTTGAGAAATGGGGTGTTCGATAGTCATAAGCGATTACATAATTTTATTCATCACAGAATTGATTCGTTGTTGTTATTTCCTAAACTAGTCGTTTTAATACGTGATGTGGTCATATCTATCGACGAGAATGCGATTTGTTCTATTGCCGGTTTTAGAAGTTAAAAGTTTTGTTAATAGCAGGTGTGCTTAAGGAAAATGATTGAACACAACAGATTCTGTAGGATTTAGTAAACTGTTTACTGATTTCCTAATTAAATGTAAGTTTTATCCAATTTAACATTAAAAGCAAATTATATAACCCGAAATGCAAAACTTATATAAGCTAAAAATTCTGGTCATTCCAATTTTTGGTTAATTAACATTTATGAATAACACATTTTTATTTTCTTATCAGAAAGGCGACCACGGCTATCAACGTGATCACTCTTTTCACTGATAAAATAACGAAATAGATCATAAAATACGATATAAAAATTATTGAAAAAACGAGTCATATTAATTGTATATTATTGTTTTGTTTTCAGAATGATATTCAAACAAAAATATAAAGATATTATGATTATTACAATTTAGAATCAATTTATTTCATTTTCTTTCTAGCCATTGCATTTAGTTCAAACAGAGAACTATAAAAAATACGGCCGACTATATGGGTAAGTCCTATTTCAGTATTTGAAATAACATTGCTTAAAAATATAAATGTGCCATTTAGCGTTTTGACATTACAAAATTTAAGCTAACTTATTTTTAATTAGTATTGATTTTAATTTCTGTAATTAATTGTTTCTAAAATTAATATTTAATTAAAATACGACAATGTGAATAGAAATTGCGTTCTGTACACAATATATTCGATAAAAACTGTATTCAGTGTATATAAACTATACAACTTCTCGTTCACTAAACTGTGGCCACATCAAACAATAATAAATCCATCATAAGTGTACTCAATAATCTGTTGAATTTGAAAACGATTTATCTTACTTATACAGGTGAGGTGATCGCACTCACCTGTATAAGTAAGATAAATCGCACTCACCTCGCATTCAGAGTAGCTTCCGCTTTAAGAACTGTGGAAATGTTTGTCTCGCTATTTTTCAACTTCTGTGTTGTACTAAAATGCCAAGAAATGCAAGTGAACCGCACATTTTTGCAAACAATCAGGTTCTGAAAATAAGAAATTGAAATGCAGCGAGATTAAGTATGGAAAAATGTAGTATCCACTTACCTACAATATTAATATGGCAAGAATATGCAAATTTTGTGATGAATAATCTCTAATTACTTATATCTGGTGTATAATTTTATAATACTATGAAATGAATGTTGTTGTGTAATTTGTGTTTCGATTAATCGAATGGAATAAGATATGGTTTGGTTTCTGTCATTAAAAAATAACGTAGACAAAATTTTACATAATTTTTATCTACTCTAAATAATTTAAAAATTTTTTCAAAACATTACAGTGGCGTATAGTTTTACACTATATACATAATAATAAAATATAAAATAAAATAAAAGAAAAAAAAATCCATAAACAGAAATAACCCACAAGAATCCAATAGTAGCTGAATAATAATAAAATATAAAATATGATATTTTGCATTAAAGTAAGTGACAAATTAATGAGATTTTTTACATCAGTGCTATAAATTGATTACATTGATGAAACATGTTTTACATTCAACGTAATTAATTTGCTTAAATTAAAAACTTTTAAATTTTATAGTATCTTCTTCGGTTTAAGACCACAACTTATCGTCGCAGATCCTCAAATTATTAAGAAAATAATAGTCAAAGATTTTAACATGTTTCGTAATAGAATGGTAAGTTTAAATATCAATATAAGGCAAACTTATTAAATTTTTAATTAATTTTTCTCCTTCATAATAAAATACTGTCAAACTATCGCAAATTATTACGATTTCTAATAAAATTGTTAAGATAAATCTAGAAATTCTGAGTTAAATATTTATAGCACTTTATCGGATTATAATTCCGTAGGTTATTTTAGGTTCAATGCTTTATACTTTTTCGAAAGATATGCTTTTTGAAATTTCATTAAATCTGTCTAAATACAAGTAGTTTGAAAGATTATTTATACGAACTTTCCATTGTAAGATATTCTAATATATTTAGAATGAGTACTCCTTTTAAATCTTTATTGTCTGTGTATATTGATTTCGTTTTTTTTTTATTACGATTGTTTTTATTTTCGAACAAAAAGTAATTAGTTAAATTTGCATTAATTCTTAAATTATTAGTTTGTCATATAATTAAGCTTATTGGTAGAAGCTTATTGATATTGAAAATGTTATTTAATTAATTTATTTTCTAATGTAGTCACGATAGGATCATTATCAGTGATAACTATATCATCAGCATAAATATGAATGTTTCCATCCGGAATTACTAATTTTACATATTGTAACTTTAAATTAAAGAAAAAAAAGTAAATGAAAAAATGTATAATAAAGTTGTGATTGTTGCAAGGAACATATTTTACCTAATAATTTTTTAATACTATTAGTTTGTGATACATAATATATTATTTTTTCTGCCATAATAACTAACCTTTTTCTGTACCCCTAAACAACCTATCGCGTACCCCAGGTTGGGAATCGCTGATCTAGAGCTTTGATCCATTCTGGTTCTATATTGTCTGGGCAAGCAGCCTTACTGAGTTTAAGTTTATCGATGATGGCTTTTACAACTTTACATTTGACTATTGGTGGGTCTTCTAACTCCCTGGGAGATTCAATCTCCTCCCTGTTGCCTTGGAATAATACCTTTCCATATTCATACCACTTTTCCATTATTTCTTCTGTCTCCAAGATTATTCTCCCATTTAAATCTCTTACACCTTGTGCTTGAAAATTCTGTTTTTTAAAAGTAACTTCTCTAATTTTTTTCATTGAGTTTTTATTTTATTTTCTTTATCCAAACTTTCAATTTCTTCACATTTTTTTGTTATGCCACTCTTCTTTAGCCTTTCTACACTCTTTTTATAGATCTTGTTAAATTTTTATATCCTGGTTTATTTTTCAAACTTTTCTTATTCTCCATCAAATTTAGAATTTTACCAGTCATCCAAGGTTTGCTCATTTTCCTAATATATTCTGGGATGTTATTAGCAGCAGCAGCTCTACTTATATATTCCTTAAAAGCATTCATGCTTCATTGATATCCTCTATTGATTAATTATGTTCTTTATTTATTCTATTGTTATTGATTTCCCTATTAAATTCATCATTAAATTTTACTTTTATGTTCTCTTCCTTTAACATTGCTGAATTTAACTTCTTTGATACTGACTTTTGCTTACAGGTTTTCAGTTTAATTTTTGCTTTCACTACAACTGGATTATGGTCGGAATTAATATCTGCTCCAGGATACGACTTTATAATGTTATAATATTTCATAATATTTAATCTTTCCTATATAATATAATATAATTTATTATGAAGTTTACACAGTGTGCCAAATAAGTAATGAAACAACTAGCATTACATCCAAACTAAGAACTTTATTTCAATTTCACAGTTACATGGATTCAAAATAATCCCCTTGCAACTCCACACAATGTTTATATCAATCATACAAGTTGTTGAAAGAACACTGGAAGTCCTGATTGTGTACCTCCTTCAGTCTGTTGATCACAGTATGTTTGATGTCCCCAATGTCACTGAAATGTTCCCCTTTTAAAACATATTTAATTTTCGGAAATAGGAAAAATGTCTACAGGTCCAAATTAGGTGAATAGGGTGGGTGTTAGCGCACACAGATCTGTTTTGATGCTAAAAACTGTTTCATGGTTAGTGCACAGAGAGCCGGTGCATTGTCATGCAGGAAAACCTAACTGTTGCTTTGGAACAGATGCATCCTGACACGACGCATGTGAGTAAAGAGACATTGTATGACTCCAAAGTAGTACTGATGTACACACAATAACGAAACTTCATCAGTACTAAATAGTACTGATGAAGTCGCATTGTTCATCTTCTAAGGATTCTCTTCTGTTCTTAAATGCTGAAAACCAGTGGAACACTTGTGCACGACTAAGACAATCATCCCTGTAAACAAATAGCATGTCTTTGTAAACTTCTGATGCTGTTTTTCCTAATTTACAGTAAAATTTTATCACAGCTCTTTAATCCATGATGCTACATTTGACCGCCGTTACTTGCACAACATTACTTTCATGGCTACTGTGCATGCACTGATTGAGTCATCAACATGATCAAAGCATCTGTGTGTTCAGCACAGTCAAGCCAGTGAAATGGTAACCACATTTGATGCATTTCTTGAAAGTATTCATGGAAAAAAAATCAGTTTCATTACTTATTTGGCGCACTGTGTATTTGATTCCTGCATATGTCACTTGGACTTTTCCATGTATACACTCTTCTTGCTGGATGTTTAAACAGGGTGTTGGTGTTTATCAACTTACTTTCCTTGCAGAATTGAATGAGTCTATCCCCTCTTATTTTTCTTACCAAGCCCATATTGACCCATGCATTCTGATATATTCTCATTGCCCACTTTTNGACGATTTATATATGCTGCAATTTCTCTTATTGACTTGCCTTGTGATTTATAGGCATCAATCTGCTCTTTTTCATAATCAGATAAATTCTTTGTTCTACCCATTTTAGAACGTTGAACAACGTAAAAAATTTGTATTACAATTAGATATGTAAGCTGATTTGTATAATTCAATGCTTGAAACTAAACCATTTTCTATTTAACTCACGAAATGAGTGCCTGTCCGGATAAAAATGTAACAGTTTTTTTGTACATGATTTTGAAAAATATTATTTTCAGTGACAAAATGTTAATGTTTGATTGAAATTCTTATTTTGCAGTGTGGAAACAAGTAAATCCATGTTATTTTTAATAAAACATTTGTCATTTAATGCAGCAAATTTGGGTTTCACTTTAATTTTTTCGTGTCCGTATAAATTTGAAACACACCTTAGTACTTAAGTACGTAAAAATTTATTACATTTCATGTTGTACGAGGGCTTTACCCAATTCTCGAACCGTGTTAGAGTGAATCCGTGCTATAGAAGAGCCGTGTTATACGGGGGTTACCTGTATATATTAAGAAACTATTCGTATTTTAAAATACAAAGTATGTAAGTATTCAAAGTATTTACTAGAAGTAATAATTTGATCATAAATAATAATAGATTCTATATTCTTTATTTTTACTTTAATGTGATCTAATACTCTTTATGATGTGTAACCTTCGATAGTAGAATTAAAAAATGAATACGATTAAAACATATAAAGCATTTAAATTTAATTGTTAATTTAGAATATACAAAAATAGTATTAATAAGTTCAGTAAGGCGTCGAAAATCCGGACTCTAAAATATAAGATACGTGAAAGTTAGAATTTTAAGCACAGTACTGTAAACGCCAAATGTACTGTAATTTAAGTTTAGGTGTTCTAAGTTTAAGGCAGTATTTCACAAGGAATGCAGGAATACTTACAAAAATTCAAAATATACTTTTCAGAATCATTATATTTAAACAAAAAATGTACTAATAATTATTTCAAAATTAAAAAATTACGAATTCTGAATGAATGTTAGAGCATGAACAAGATAAGAGAGAAAGAACGTCAACAACGAAGTTACCATTGAAAGGGTTATTTTATATCCATTTTTCTATTGCCGAATCCGGATTTTCGACATTTCACTGTATTAAACTTATTATAATTTTACTTCAGAAATTTAATATTGGAAATCCAATATTCGACAACGGATTGGTTATTTTGGGAGATGAAGATTGGGAAAGAATCCGATGTATAATGAGCCCAACTTTTACTAGCAGCAGAATGAAACAAGTAAATAAATTCTTACATCTTTTCATTTTAACTTTTTGTTTTAATTTTCCAGTAATAATTAATAAATTCAATTAATCTGTGGAGATGAATAAGTGATGCAAGTAGTGAGATTTTTTTGAAACGATTTAATATTTATAACCATTTAGAAAAATAATGGATACTTAAGCATCTCATAAGAAGGTAGCTTCTTTTAATAAATGCTTGATATGAAACGATATTGAGTATACTAAAATTTATTTATATAGTGATCAACTTTGCTTTTACTGTTTTATATCTAATTTATTTTAAAAGATCATAATTATGCCATCTGCTTTTATCATTTGTTTTACAAAAGTAATAATATACAGGGAGGGTGTCCGGCTTATGAGTTTAATAAAAGAACAATTTATAATTTGCATTGTATTTTTATCGCACTTGTAATCAGCTTATATTTTATGTTGATATTTGTAGCCATTTATGAGAAATGCCATTTTTTGGCGCTGCGATTACTAACACATGAGCAGAATAGCAAAATAGATGCTCCAGTCACTGCATGTTATCACCTGGTCAAGTTATTTATACATGCTGCAACTTATGCTATCCTTCAACTTCCTCCTGGCATCATTGTTCAATAAAGACATTTTTTAGGGAGTATTCCAGACAGTAGATTGGTTCTTATTCCACTAAACTTTTTCCTGTGAGATATTGTAATAATCAAGAGTATTATATATCTGTGCATAACTTCAATGATGTGAGACAGAATCTCTCAAGCTATGGACAATGTCACGCGTCGTATGCTATGAAATCCGTGGATAAAGTAGAATACAAGTTGGACATCTGGTTCGCCACTGTTGACGCACATATTTAAGTCTGTTTGAATGCAAAAGAGAATCGACAAGAGTTTTTTGTTACTAGAAGACATTTTCATTATATTGTTATAATAACTTTTAAATTTACACGCGTTTCTTTTATTAGACATCTAATCCGCACACCCTGAATTTGTATGGTTTGCATGAAAATATACATGATCGCAACTTTCTAATTTTTTTTTAAATATACGAATTTTGTTGTTTTTAAATAACTGATTTATATTATTTATTTCCATCTGTTTTTGAGACTAGTAAACTTATTTTTATTAAACAAACAAAAACTTGAATTATCTCCAAAGTTCGAGGTTTTTCGTTACAATGAAAGTTATCATAGTATTAGTATCATATTTGTCTTATTAATTGAGTTATGTAATTTTGTTGTAAAATAGATAATTAAATTTGATGTATAACTAATATACTTTAAAAATTTTTCATTAGAAATAAATACAAAGATAAAATCGAAAATATTTAATATGAATAGTAATTTTTCAAGCTATTGAAATAACAGGAGTTTTATATAAATTTAATAACGTAATAAAAAATAATGTAATATATAGTCCAATAATAAATATATAATTTATAAAGAATTTATTAATTTTTTGCATTTATTAACGTAGAATTTTTTCAGATGGCATATTTAGTAAAAGAATGTGCGGAGAAATTCACAGAGAATTTGAAAAAAATGGTTTTATCCAATGAAAATCAGTCTATCGATTGTAAGAGGTAAATTAATTATAGCTCTTAGTATATTATGAATGAATTAATAAAATTCTATTAATTTAATTTAGTTTTAGTAATTTTAGTAATTTTATGAAAAATTATATGTAAAATTTTCAAAATCATTATAAACAGATGCTATGAATTCAGCACAATTTCAACATATTAGAGATGAAAAATATTTTCACTATTAACATAGTCTGCATAACTTCTATCTCTACTTGACTTTCAATGCAATCGATTTTTTAACAGAGATGGAAAGAATGACGCTTCGATTCTAGTTGTTCAAGATAAATTATTATGATTGGGTTTATGGAACCCATCAAAACGCGAAATTCTTCCGTTGTGATCCGTTCTACTGTAATTTATATCTTACGATTGAACGAGAAGTGATAACATAACCCGGAGAAGATTCAAAAAAGTGAAATTCAGAGGAAAAAGGACTCTAATCTTGTCATAAGCCGGACGTCTGTTCGTGTGGACCGTGACACAGACGCTTACGGTTTAATTAGAATAATACTGAAGTTTTGTTTATTTTACTAAATTAACAAACAGTGCTTATATTCTGTTTATTTTTATAAAAGACAACATATAATAAAATAAGGATCGACCACCGAACGGGCATTTGTTCGGTGGTCGTTCCTTATTTTATCCGGAAATTCCTGATTTCCTAGTGGACCAGTTCCCCAGTGATCATATATAATTAGGAGATTGAGCGAAAACAATTCTATTTACATTCGTTACTCAATTATCTTACCTGTCGTCTTATGCCCTTTTTGTATTCTTCCTTGCTTTTCGTATCCTATCGTCGTTTATGACAGATCGAATTTTTAAAATAGCCAATTAGAAATAGAAACGGTATGATTTATCAGCCGAATACTTCACGAGGAAGAACATGAAACCATGTAAGCTACTGAATTACTCTGGATTTGGTCGCTAAACAGACTGTTCGATTTCACGGCCAGAGCCAACAACAGAATCATTCAGAGAGGTCCTGAATTACGTGAACAAACTCAAGCAGTTTCATATCAATAGAAAAGACACAGTAGTGAAAAAACTAGCATGCATAGTCTAAAGCAGATTGCTACAGTCAATTGTAGAAACACAAATATCTGAATATTTTTAAAAGTAATATTCATCATTTTATGATTATTCATCACTCATATGTTTAATTATTATTGTTTTCATGGTGTGTATTATATGTTTGTAAAAAAAAAATGGTACAGGCTACATTTAAAGGTATTTTTCAAAACCTCTATCGAGTGAACAGATCTCTAAAACGGACAGTTTTCGGTCTTGAAGCTGTTCTTCAAAAAGAGGTTTAACTATACTATATATCTGGCATATAATCATGTGAATAATTATATGCCAGATCATCGAAAATTAATATTTGTCATTCGGAAATAAGTCTTTTTTATGGCTTAATTTTGTGGACCTTTAGCTGCAAATTACTTGTAGAGCAATGAATACTATAGATGTATATCTAGAGTGGGTACTATAGTTTTTTGTATTTTGTATCCAAGAAATTCGATACGTTTTAAATATTTTTAAATTTTTATATAATTTTAAGAGGAAGTTTGTCCATATGAATTAGTTAATTTAAAGCTTAAAACAATTGTTTATACTCAAACAACAAGTCAAACAACATAAATGTAATACAGTTTTATTTTCAGATACAGTATGTTTTAAATGTAAAATAAATAATGATTGTAATTTAATTATTTACAGTTTATTATTAAGTATTTATTTTATTGATGTAATCGCTTCCACTGCATTTGGAACAAAACTGAATTCTTTAGAGGATCCACATAACAAATTTGTTTCAAAAGCAAGAAAGGCATCTAATATAGATGGTTCTATTCTCCTTGCGCTTTTCTGTAAGCCTAATTTATTAAATTAAGTTTTATTTAAAAAAATTCTATAATTTCATTAACTTTTTAAATATTCAGCAACTAATTTCGATAACACAATTAAAAGAATTTTTATTATTTATTGATGTTTATTAAAACTTTAATAAAATAATAATATAAATTGTAATTCGTTTGAAGTTTTGCATGAACATTTTTTTTAGGATTTATATTTTGTCGCCGTAAGGGATTATCACTTGAATATAATTAGGATTTTCGTCCACCCCTTATTATAGCAAAATTATGTGATAATCCAATAGTAATGCAAAGCCTCGTATAATATTTAATATACAGTTAACTCTCGGTATTCGGATATTTGGTATTTACGCTTTTGCTTATTCGCTATTGAAAAGTTGAGACCAACCATACGACTTTTCGTCCACTTACGTATCCACGACTTACTTTTACAATATTTCAGTATTTGTAAGAAACGAACTCCGTAATACCGTATTTTTACATTTTTTGACACAACTAAGCAAACTTCAGTAACTAGTGCACTACCAAACTCAATCACCGCATTTAGCAACAATGTCTTCTGCGAAATCGTGCTTTACACGACAAAGTTTATCCCACAATTACGTAAATACAGTATAAATTATACTGTATTTACATAATTAAGTATCGAATACCCATTCTACATTTAACATAAGTATCTATTGATTTGATTTAATAGACTTGTGCTAAGGCAATAGACGGATTAAAGCATATTTAATTAATTTATTTTTATGCTTCGGTTAGATATATACAGTATATTCTTTAGGTTATTTTGTAATGAATTGGAAGGTCTAATTTAAATTTTACTGTTTTTATGGTTACCTATCGAATTTTATATCAATGTAAATTAAACTTTAAAAACGTGCCCCACATCTAGAGATGCAAGTTAGCACTACTCATTTGATACTCCACACTAATAAATCACTACTTGTAGGCCTAATGTAAAGACGCCATCTCTTATGTCGAGTAATGTCTACCTTTAATAATGTCTACTGTCTAATGTCTAACTTTAGTNACATATTTTACCTAATAATTTTTTAATACTATTAGTTTGTGATACATAATATATTATTTTTTCTGCCATAATAACTAACCTTTTTCTGTACCCCTAAACAACCTATCGCGTACCCCTAGGGGTACGCGTACCACAGGTTGGGAATCGCTGGTGTAAAATAATAAAATTTTTTTTCTCTCAAAGTTAACCTGTTTTGTTTTTTACAATTTTTTTACCCTAGTTCTTATTCCGTTTTGAGTAAATGGATTAGAGCTTTGTAACCTTTTAGCTTCCATAAGTCAGAAAGGATAGGAGAATTATTATTAGTTTTTCATAATATTTTTTCTCGCCTGAACTAATATTGTGTTTTATCACCTGAGTTTGCATTTTAATTATTTCAGCCGGTATTATTTAGTGCTATCATTAACATATATATATATTTTTTAATTTTGAGAAAGCTAATTGTTCTTCTGCGATTTAATGAAGTTGCTTCTTGAGACACGATATTTTTTTTATAAATGTTATTGTCCTGTGTTTTAAAGTTGTATTCGTTTCATTTAAAAGTAAATATTTGTTAATAAAAACTACCAATAAATCATTAAAACGTTCTACTAATAAGCTAACTTTCAAATCTTCTCGACTATAAAGGGCATTCCAAAAGTAACAAGGTTTTAATGCATTATGCAGATTAGTTAGTGATTTATGATCAATTTTTTACGGAGTATCGTATCATACCCATGTGTTTCTCTTTATTTCTTAGAAAGGACAATGAGAAGATGAGTAGAAATAAGATTACTATAAACAACAAATTTAGAATTAGCCGTGCTATACATAAACTCAAGTAAAGAACAAGAGGATCTTTCTAAATCCACTCTAATTCTAGTTTAAATTATTATTATTCAACCACCATTATTCTAACAGTTATTTGATAGTACAGGTAACCCCCGTATAACATGGTAGTTACGTTCCAAAAATTAAAAAACATGCTATTATATTTTCATAATTAAGATAAATATCTTTATTAAAATTTTCTTAAGTGATACATATTAATATAAATTAAACAATGTTTTCTTTGTCATCACTAAAAGCACTATTAACCGAGAGCGTTTTATTTTTGGCAAGTTATATGATGCTAAGCACTTATGGAATAAGAGAAAAACATCTGGAAACATCAGAAGTAGAAGCGTCGAGATCTGGCAAAATTGAAACAATTTTCGCGAAGAACCATGTGTACGGAGACGAGAAAAGAAAATTTACACACTGAAGTACTAATAGTTCACGAAAATAATAATTTTCGTGAACTATTAGAACTTAAGTATGTAAAAATTTATTACATTTCATGTTGTACGAGGGTTTTACCCATTTCTCGAACCGTGTCAGAGTGAATCCGTGCTATAAAAGTACCGTGTTATA